ATACTTATAATACTTATAATAAATACTGCAGCAGTTTCTTTAGAACCAATGACGCTATTTAATATGATGAAACCTCAATACTCCGGGAGTATTGGATTTTAGGAAGTGTAGAACTTCCAAATTTCAGAAGAACTGGAAGAGAGGTAATGAAAATACTAAAAATATGGCTAAGCTCAGAGGAACAAAGTTAAATGGCCAAAGAGACACTAAATCTCAAGTGAGTGTTCGGGCTAGCTTCAATGCACTGGATTGTGGCTTTAAAGATATAAACAGATAGCAAGGATACTGAGCTAATGAGACAAGAAACGAAATGAGGCCTGGTAATATCAAATGTGATACAACTAAAGAAGGTCACTGGGAATAAATTTATAGAAAGACAACAATAAGAAGAGAAAAAAGAAGGTCGCCAACTCAACGACAGTTGAGATTTTGAAGTAACAAATGACCGGAAACAAATGATACTAGAGGTAATAACCTGAAATCCAAAAATACTAAATATTAATCTTGTCTTGCTATATTATATACTGGTTAGTAAAACTGAAATAAAACTCAAAATAGTAACAATAAATATATTTATAAAAATGTGTATATCGATATATATATATATATATATATATATATATATATATATATATCTATATATATATATATATATATATATATATATATATATATATATATATCTATATATATATATATATATATATATATATATATATATATGTATATGTATTAACAATTTACATATAATGCAAAACTAAATAACAGTGGTAGTGGGTAGTGTAAAGATACGATAGGACCTAATAGCCCCTCAACAAGCGAATAGTCACTACCACTGGCCAAATAAAGGGTGAAATATTAGTAAAAACCTAGAATAGTCCGTATGGTAGCCAAAGTCTTAACACAAAAAGGTAGTAATTTAAATTTAACTAGCTCAACTAAAATGATATACAAATTACAATATTGTAAAGATATCAAACTTGATAAATCTGTTAGAATTCTATTAAGTAAATATATTACATTCAAAAGTGAATCTTCAATACTTCTTATATAATGTTTTAAAAAAAAACCACATGAAATTTATTTCCCTTTCCCAAAATCAAAATTCTATTGTATCAAAATGTAATGTATTAAAAAAAAAAATATATATATATATATATATATATATATATATATATATATATATATATATATATATAATATATATATATATATATATATATATATAATAGATATATATATATATATATTATATCAAAAAACTGAGTTTGGTCAAACCCTTTACATCCCAGTAAAAAAAACCTAATAAAACATGAAAGGTATTTTCTTCTCCCCAATATTTTAGAATTTGATTGTCAAAATTGTATTCACCTTATCATATGCATATAAAAAGCTAAGAGTAAATAGAAAGTAACACAAAAAGTCAAATAGTTAAACAACTTATCTTAGCAACACTATAAGTCCATAGGAAAAACTCCTCTTGGCACGGCTAAATCAGTTTGTTGCTGTAAAGGACAAATCCCAGGTGAGTCTGGGCATAAAACCAGTCACTGGTCTATCTGGAGTGACGGCAAAATCCAGGAGAGTTGCTAACCATTTAAGAAATCTTGTTACTAGTCCTTGAGGGAATATCCTTAAGAGAATATCCTCAAGTGAAGTGACGGAATCTAAAAAGATTAATTATTAGATTTAATTACTATTTTATTTAATACGTGTAGCAGCATAGATTGACTGTACCAAAACAAAACATTAGGTTATGTCAACATGTCAAAATTTGCGCAGTTACTTTGGTAGACATGGCAGGCTTGCGCCATGAAAAGAACATGCGCAGAATACAGAAGGCTGTACCACATTTGTAGAACCTTTTATATTCCACCAAAAAAAGTTAGATAAAAAGAGGACCAAAAAAAAACTTAATGATAACGACATGGACTAAAACAGAATTTAAGTTTAACTATATAAAAAATGACCTTAGGTTCTTTGTAAGTAAATCAAGGAAATTTTATATTTAAATCATTTTGGAACTCAAAAATAAATCTCTAAAGAAATACTAAACTGCAATGATAAATTTGATTATATGATAAAGAGATAATACGTATGAAATTATTTACTTACATGGAGCCGCAGCACGCCAAAAAAATCTTCCTTTTTATGTGGAACTCTTATAAATGACTCTTGATTTTAAAATTTACTTATTATTATTTTTATTACTGAGATATGATTATTGAATTAGATATTATTTTATTCGTCCCAGATTATTTTACTGCTTCAATTCCGTCACTTTTCGTAAGAAAATTTCACTGATTGGCGTGTCTGCGCTGAGTTCTGACCAGAAACTAACGGCTTCCGTACAGACTCGACCAATCTTCCTTTTCAAAGCGACTCCTGCGCGTGTGTGGAAAAATGTCGATTTAAAATCGATCGTAGGCGGGTAATAAGAAATTTCGTGAGGAGTTTTAATTGGACTAGTCAGTAGCGTAAACGCTACAATGAGATGATCTTTTATGGAATGTACAGCTCGCCCTCGATAGTCCGACAGGTTCGGGACCGACGTAATGTCGGATTACCAAAAATGTCGGATTATGAAAAATGGCTCCGTCATTTTAAACAACGTATTATTCATCGTTAAATTCAAGGGACATATTAAAAACACAGAATAAAGTAAACATTTTAATTTATGTACATAGACTTAAAATTACATACAAAAAAGAGCACAATATGTATTTACTTGTTGAAAAAGTCCGTGATTGCCTTTTGTTTCTTTTTTTGAAAACAGTCCACCATTGCTGCCTCTTGCAAACCTTTTAACACTAAAATCTTGTTCATGTCCACATCTCTCTCTTGGCACCAACGTAACAAAGTGTTAGCTGCCGATACAGCTTCATCACAGCTGACGGTGAAGGTTTTTTCTGGCGCTGCGTCCTCGATCATGTTGTCATCAACTGCTGTCACTTCTTGAATTATATCTGCGTCTGTCATGTCAGCATCAAGGTTATCTTCTATGATCCATGTTCTAAGCTCTTCAACCGATGCGGGGGCAAGTTGCACTTCATTACAAAGTTCCAATGTAGCCTCTAAAACGGGTTCTGAATCGCTGTTGGATGTAGGATTATACGTTGTAAGACATGGGTTGTTAGGTCATACATTTCTCCACGATTTTATCAGTATTATGCTTTTTACTTGCTGCCAAGCATACGCAGCATTCAAAATGGCGTCTTTAATGTTAAAAGCTTTCAAAATCGCTGGAATATCAGCATCAGGTTGACTGACAACATCCATAAGAATGCGTTTCTTATAGTGAGCTTTGAGGGTTTTTATAACGTTTTGATCCATGGGCTGAATTAAAGCTGTCGTATTTTTCGGTAGGTACATAACTTCAATGTAGCCATCAGCAGTTTTGATTTTCAATTCATCAGCATCAGGATGTCCTGGTGCATTATCCAGTAAAAGTAGGGCTTTCATAGGTAACTTGTTCTTCTTTAGTTCAGCCTTAACTTGTGGAACGAAGCTGTTGGTGTACCAGTCACGAAAAATTTCTTTTGTCACCCATGCGCGACTTTGTGACTTGTAAGTTACTGGCAGAGATTCAACCTTTACATTTTTGAATGCTCGAGGGTTTTTTGATTTTCCTTCAACAAGCAATTTTAATGCATGAGTGCCTGATGCATTCGCACACACCATAAGCGTGAGTCGTTCTTTTTGCAATTTCCTTCCTGAAACTTTTTTTTCCTCGCCACTTACAAATGTTTCTGCCGGGAGCTGTCGCCAAACAAACAGTGTTTAACAAAAAACAAAATTTGTTTAATTTACTGTTTGTATTTTGAGAACGATTTCCGAATTGGAAATTGAAACGTCAATAAACGTATTTTTATCTTTAATTGTGGTTATTCCCAGTTATAAATAGTAAGTAATAATTGTACTTTCACTAACTGTACTTTTAATAAATAAATGTTTCGTTATGTTGAGTTATGATTTTTTTTTCGAAAAATTATCCGCCGAATATCCCTCGGACATTGATGAATGCCTCATAATTTCATGACAAATTTCTCAAGCTCTTTGCTTGGTAACAGCACTCAGCCTTCGGCTTCGTGTTGTTACCAAGGAACGAGCTTTCGATTGTCATGAAAGTATCTCGTCTGTTATCAATGTCCTAGGGATATTACTACTGAAAACTGTCGAGTGTTGAAGTTATTAATAAGTATACCTTTTTTTTGTTAAAATAATATATCTTTAATATTTTTTATCACAAACACCGCTAACTTAAAGAGCAAAAAAGATAAGTGCAAATGTATGCCACATATGTGCCCACATACATATGTGGTGTATAAAGCAACTTGGCTTAAATCGTAATATTTTAAATTATAGAATCTACGGTTTCTTTTTATACAATTACTTAAGGACAACCCTGTATAAATAAAGCTCATGTTGATTGAGACTAGCTGAATGACAGTCGTCCAAGCCAAAAGAAAAAAGAATGTGGGCTATTTCAATGTCTACTATTATATTTTTATTAAAATTATGTTTAGTCAATCTATTATCCGCATTTTATCTGATATAACAGAAATATATTAGATAATTAATAAAGAATTATTTATGAGTGTATTATAAAAAAAAAGAACTAAACTTGACGAACTTGAAGAAGTAAAAATGACATAATTATTTTTATTAAATTAACACTATTTGGAGTTCGGGATAAGAAATATTTTTCTTTTGATTTGAGTCTTGACGTTTAATTTTACTCTTCAATGATAAATGTAAATCTTTGTTTTGATTTTATTAGATGTATTTAGGCCAAGCTATTTTTTGAGGTTACTCTCTCGGGCTTATTACCTTAACAAGCCTTAATTGATAGTATGTTAAAATTGGTTCCGAAGAATTTTTATTAAATAATACATAGCCGTCACACTTAATTAAAGGATACACTAAAAATATATTTATCTGACAAAGACGTGTTTTGGTTTTATTGGCAAATATTTTTTTAATGTAATTCTGTTTTTCAGGTATATGCTGACAGCTTAACTGGATTTGGTGTTAATAGAGCTGCAAAACTAATCTCTCAGTACAGCAATAAATCTGTATATTATTACCAGTTTAGTTACCAAGGACGATACAGTCATTTCTACACTCCAGAAAGCAATAATACTGTTCCTTATGGTAAGGTTTTGGAAATCACATCTATGCATTAACTCAGATAAAAAGCAAAATTAGGACAAAATTTCTAAATGTCAAAGTTTTTCCTGGAACAATTTCCAAATATTCTAATTACCAAGTAACTGCTTGATATTTATTTTATTTTGAAAACATTGGATTAAATCTACATTACTTTTTCTGATATAACGCATATGGATGTAACATCAATCTATAAGGTGTAAGCGTCAATTAATTCGGATATGGTTGGCATACGTTACAAGCGCGAGATTGGAATTTTCTATATGGCGTTTACAGTACGTATAATACATTATCAATATTTACTATAGAAAGAGTTTGTTGTAAAACAGAACCGGTTTACGGTCATTTAGTATTCACATTATTATATTTTGCTGTATGTTATATGCGAAAGCGAAAATTTATATCGTTTAATTCTAAATTTACATAAAAAAATTTGCTTCATTGAGCTGATAAGCTATTTTTTTTCTTTGGACTAATTTGATAAGTTAATTTTGGATTTTTCTGTAACTTGCTACTATAGCTACTTGTTATTTTGGGGGTATAATTGATAAAATTAGTGTTCGAGAACATTTTCTTATGTGGAAAATAGGCAACTAAAGTAACTTAAATGTATATTTTTCGTAGAATATATTGGTTCTCAAAGGAACCCTAATTTAAACTGAGAAGAATTGTTTATTCTCCTATGACATTAACCCCAGGTATTCGCTTTCAATTCAAGAAGGAGTACCATTTAAGATATTTAATTTTTGTAAAATAAATTACATACTGTGGGTACTTTTGATGACATTTTTCAAGAATTTTAGTACAGGTTGTCATTTCGATGCCACGTATTGTAGATTCATCTATACTTCTATAAACCCCTACCAAGGCTGTATGTTTGTGACATGGACATCTGGAGAAAAATAGTGCTTTAAGCTGAATTTTGGGAATGCATGTTTTATTTAAACTATTTTGAAATATACTTTAAAATATAATTATCTCGGACATATAATGAGAAACAGCACTAAATACAGATTACTGAAGGTAATCCTACAGGGTAAAGTATTCGGAAAGCGAGGAATTGAGAGAAGGAGAATATTGTACCGTTTTTAAATAAAACGAGCGGTTCGAATTTATATAAATATATTTATTTATAACTTTACAGTTCGGTATTCTCTTATCAACTAAACTTATTCCTAAGATCGTTACATATATATACCAAAGTTACTATTTTCTAGAAAGTTCCCACCTCTAGGCGTACATGACTGATCTTTCTCGAAATATCGAGTCGCTTTCGAGATGCCGCCGCACGGAAGCATGAAGTGCTGTTTCGAGATGCAACCGTTACGTGCCTCGTTGAATGCACGTTCGTAACACTGCTCCCCTCTTAGATCTGAGCGTCCCGATCAGCAACTCTATATGTAGGCCCAGGATGGCGGAATCTACAGGACTCTCCAGCTCTGCATGAACCCCTCAGAAAGAAATAACAGTCTACTGTCTTTGAAGGACACAATCTCTTTGGATTAGTGCAACACACGGTAATTCTTACACCGGTTTCTCGGAAGATCACTTCAAGCATGCTTCGGACAATCTTCCAATCCAGATTATCTAGTACATGGCCTATCTTGGGTAAGGCCAAATTTTTAATGTCGTAATTGCAGACGATTTTCTTCAAATTAGTTAGAGCACACCATATATCCTCGTAGCTTGCCCTGTCTGTATACGACTTCCTGGTCACCATATACAGCAAAGATCGAGAACCATCTTCTAATCTCAGTACTCTCCCAACTTTAGGCTGCTGGTTTTTTAACTCGTCCAAGCGACCGAATTTCTTATAAAATACGGATGAGGTCCCTTTAGTCTTTGATATAAACTCATTAAAGCTTGGTCGCCGATCATCTTTGATCTCATGTTGAAGGGTTCGGACTTCTTCGGTTTCATTTGAGCCAGCATAAGGTGCAAGACGATTTATGTGAACTACTTTTGGTTTACCTTTCGGCAACTTCTTAATTCGATATATTACGTCATTTATTCCCTTTTTAATTTCATACGGACCCTCCCATTGTCTTTGGGATTTAGGAGACAAGCCACGACGACGTTGTGGATTATAAAGCCAAACAAGATCACCTACTTTATAGCTTTCATTCTTACATCGAAAATCGTATTGATCTTTCATTCTGTCACTGGCTAACTGGATGTGTTGGCGGGCAAGTTCATGAATGTTGTTCATTCTTAACTTCAGGCGGTCGACATAATCTTCGCTTGCAACATGTTCTTCGGAAGGTCTGGAGCCAAACTCTAGGTCGCAGGGCAAACGAACTTCACGACCTAACATCAGGCAGGCCGGAGTCTGGCCGGTAGTTTCATTCACGGCCGAGCGGTAGGCCATTAGGAATAAATGAATGTGCTGGTCCCAATCTCTTTGATGTTCTGATACAACTTTGGACAGGTGTTTACCCATCGTTCGGTTCATTCTCTCGACCATTCCATCTGATTGAGGATGCAGGGGTGTTGTTCTGGTCTTATTGACACCAATCAATTTACAAACGTTTTGGAAAAGGATTGACTCGAAGTTTCGCCCTTGGTCGAAATAGATCTCCAAGGGAACACCAAATCGGCTAAAGAATTCTTTAACAAGTACCTCAGCAACGGTAGCAGCTTCCTGATTTGGTATCGCATAGGCCTCAGTCCATTTTGTAAAATAGTCCATGGCTACCAGGAATATTTATTTCCATCATTTGTCTCTGGAAGTGGACCTGCAATGTCGATTGCTACTCTTTCCATAGGACTACCAACATTGTACTGTTTCATGGGTGCCCTCTTTTTACCAACTGGACCATTACTGGTTGCACACAGTTCACATTTCCGGCACCATCTTCTTACATCATCTTTACAGTTCACCCAATAGAACCGTTCTCGAACCTTTTGCAGAGTCTTCGTAATACCAAAGTGTCCACCTGATGCACCGTCATGTAACTGACCCAATACTTCTGACACTTTACTTTTAGGTACAATCAACTGAAGCTTAGATTCTGTACCATCATCGTTCTCAAAGGTTCTATAAAGAAGATCATCTTTTAGCACCAGGCAATTCCATTGGCTCCAGTAACACTTGACTTCAGGACTACATGCACTAATGTCTTGCCAAGAAGGCCTTTCACTTCGACGCATCCAATCCAATACTTTTTTTATACATGGGTCATCTGCTTGAGCGTCTTTTAGCTGTTGTGGCTGCCATTGATCATTAATGACGGTGGTTCGTCTCACGGGACAAAGTTTTTCTTTTAATTTAAGACAGTGATTACAATTTTGACTGCACGGCCATCTCGAAAGTGCATCAGCATTTAAATGAACTCTTCCAGCTCTGTGTTCGATGTCGTAATCATATTCTTGTAATCGTTCTAACCATCTTGCCATCTGGCCCTCTGGATTACGGAATTGTAGGAGCCATTTTAGAGCAGCGTGATCCGTTCGAAGAAGAAACGTTCTGCCATACAAGTATTTATGGAAATGCTCGCAAGTCTTTACTACGCCTAGCAATTCTCTCCTGGTACCGCAATAGTTTCTTTCTGGTTTCGACAAGACTTTGCTAAAGTAAGCGATGACTTTCTCCTGTCCATCTTGGATTTGGGAGAGAACAGCTCCTATTGCACTGTTGCTTGCATCGGTGTCCAACACAAATTTTCCTGCCTATCTAGGGTAGCTTAAAATCGGTGCGCTGATCAGAGCCATTTTTAAGTTCTCGAAAGCTCTTTGGCACTCTTCGCTCCATGTATATTCTTTGCCTTCTTCTGTCAACTTGGTTAATGGCTTGGAGATGTTGGCAAATCCTTTGACAAAACGTCGGTAATATGTGCATAGGCCAAGAAAACTTCTAATTTCGTGTTTATCTCTTGGTACTGGCCAATCCTTAATTGCTGCAAGTTTTTCAGGATCAGCTGTTACACCATTACTTGCTACAATATGTCCCAAGTACTTCACTTCTCGTCGAAACAGGTGACATTTCTTCGGACTCAACTTCAAATTCGCTGTCCGTAATCGTTGAAAGACTTCGGTCAGATTATTGGCATGTTCATCGAAGGATCTCCTAACTACAATTACATCATGCAAATAAACCAGGCATGTTTTCCATGTTAGACCTCTTAAAACTGCCTCCATTAATCTTTCAAATGTGACCGGGGCATTACATAAACCAAAAGGCATAACTGTGAATTGCCAAAGCCCTGATTCTATCGAGAATGCAGTTTTCTCACGATCAGCCGGCTCCGTGTCTACTTGCCAATATCCACTTTTCAGATCGAGTGTGGAGAACCAACGAGAACCAAAAAGTGTATCTAAAGTATCGTCTATTCTGGGCAAAGGATAACTATCTTTTTTAGTTACCGAATTGAGCTGTCGGTAGTCAATACAAAAACGTGTTGAACCATCTTTCTTCTTTACTAGCACTACTGGTGATGTCCATGGACTGTTTGATGGTTCAATTACCCCTTGTTTGTTCATATCTTCTTCTGATGATGTCTTCGGCTTCATCTCTTTTCGCAAATGGAAGTCGTCTAGGTTGTTGTCTGATTGGTTGAGCGTCTCCGGTATTAATTTTATGCTTTACTATGCTTGTTTTGCCATTATCCTTCTTATCAATGGCAAAAACATCTTGAAATTCTATCAGCATAGACTTCACTTTTTTAATTCGTTCATCATCAAGATCTTGGCACGTTTTAATCATCGTCTCAACAAGCTCCTTTGGATACTTAGATTTCGACGGTATCTCATTAGTTCTCATGGAATAAATCGAAGCCACAGGAACACACTGTCCGATCAAAGTTCTTTTACTTAACTTAATAGCAGTTCCCCTTAAATTCATGACTCTTACAGGAACGACATCTCGAATTCTCACCAAAGCTTTTGCCGTTAGGAACTCAGCATTGTTGACATCTTCGACCATCCTTAAACTTCCCTCTCGGCAGTAACCATCAGGTCTGGTCATCAAAATTTTCTCACTATTACCG